GTTTTGTTGCGGAAGCCAGAGTGGTCTTGGGGTCGCTGGGGGAAAGGGCTAGCGGCCCCGAATGGCCGCGGTTTCCTGCGGTTAATTCAGTCCAGCTACGGCTTAACCCTGGTCCGTAGTTTAAACACGAGTGTAATCTCTGGCTCGCGTGCAAGGCTTCAGTGAACGGCCCCCGCAGTGCCCGTTGGCGTTACCCTGCGCTGCCGGGGTCTGAGTTTGGCGCGGAGAAGATGCGGGGGGAATAGCGAGCCCTTCCAGGAAAGGCATTTGAGTCCTGGGCAAGGAGCAAGCCTCAGTTCTGCAGCGATGGGTCGAGGCAGAGGGGCTGGGGCAGCAGGGCACCTGATCCACTTTAACGGCTGTCCCGGAGGCACCTGACCTTGCCTACCTCGCAGGGCTGACACTGCCCCAGCAAGAGGACCTGGGTGAGGCCTTCCAAAAGCAAATAGCAGATGGGCTGTTGTTCCCTTTTGCGGTCAGGGGTAGGGTGATCAGTCAACTGCTGACAGTCTCCTCTGCAAGTTTGTGTACCAAAGCCATCATCACAACAAGGATACGGCACCCATCAGTTACACCCATGGTGAGCAAAAACATTCTGGGCGTGAGATTTTAACACCGGTGGTGGGCAAAAAAAGGAGCAAGAACCTGCAGATTTATCACAAGGCCTGCACTTGTTGTGATGGGAGACACCAGTGACCCCAGCTCAGCTGAGGGAGACCCCGCCAGGAAATGCCTGGCTTGTCTTGTTGGCGACTTTCTCCTTTGGCGGATGGAGGAAGACAAGAGGATTCCAGCCAAGAAGCAGGAGCAGGGTGGGGGGTGGGGGGGCATGCCTGGGTCATCCTGGAGTTCCAGGTGGACTCCTGGCTGGTTCAGAAATGAATGTGGGTCGAGGCCATCCGATGTTCCATGGGCAAGGGGCTGCCACTGAGAAGGCATGACTCGGGGGTCCCACAAGATGACCTTGTTTCGCAGAAGGGACCCGGAACTTGCTCCCTCTGCTAGATCTGGTGGGGCGGCAGAGACGATGGGGAAAGGTAGCCCCACAAGCAGTCTGGCCCTATGCCATGGAGGGCTTTGTAAGGACGACCAGCAGCTGGAGTCAGACCCTGGCATCCATAGGCGCTTGGGCAATGCAAGTATCCCATGATACTCCAGTTAGCAACCTAGTTGGAGTTGGGGGCATGGCCATTAAGGGCCAAGAGGGCTGGCTCAGAAACCACCCTCCAAGGGCGCCGGTCATCAGACCCGCATGAAGTATTGAGCGGGGAGACGCAATGTCCGCCTTGGGTCTTTGCACTGCACAGGCAGATGACGGGTTGGCCTCTCCAACTCCTTCCAACAGGGGTCCCTGAGCCCCTTCCCCACGACCCCTACCTTGCGCACGCGCACACCGCAGGCGAGGCCTGGTTGGTACCCTCCACCTTCTGGAGAGAAGGCCCCTCTCTGCTCCTTTGCTCTGGAGGACGAGAGGGGAGGATGCCCAAAGGCAGTGGGCCACTGACAATGCGCCATTAAGTCGGTGTCAGGTCTTAACAACCGCGTGGATGGATTTTCTCCAGGACAATCTGCCCCAACCTGGTCCTTCACGTCTTCCAATGGGTCCCCCACTGCTGCTGTAATTGAGTTCAGCATTTCAGCTATCTAATTAGTGTCATCAGCACAGCACAGGTTATTGATGTTTCTTCTTTTAATTTTAGAATCACACTAATTTTCTTCCACTCCAGCTTCTCTGATTCATACAGATTGAATAAATAAGGGGAGACCATTCAGCCTCGTCTCACTCCTTTGCCAACTTGGAGCCAGCCTGTTTCACCATGTTCTGTTCAGAGTGTAGCTTCCTGACCTGGGTATGGGTTTTGCATGAGAACGATGAGATGTTCTGGGATTCCCATTTTTCTAAGCACGCTCTATAGCTTGACATGATTGGCACAATCAAAGGCCTTTCTATGATCAATGAAGCACATACTGACTTCTTTTGGGTATTCTTTGGCTTTCTCAATTATCCAGTGTGCATCAGCAATGATGCCTCTTGTTCCTCAGCCTTTTCTAAAGCCAGCTTGAACATCTGGCACCTCCCTTTCCATGTAGGGCTCTACTCTGTGTTGGATGATCCTAAGCATTACTTTTGCTAGCATGTGAAATTAAGGGTGCTGCACAATAGGTTTAAGTCTCCTTTCTTTGATATTGGTATGTAGACTGACCTCCAAACTTTTGGTCACTCTCCAGATTTGCCGGTCTTAGTTTGGTTAGAACCTTTTACAGACTCTTCTTCTGTTATTTGTCATAGTTCTGTCCATCAATTCCTGTAGCTTTCTGATTTGCTAATGAACAGAGTGTTCAGATCTTGTGAGTATGGGATATCTTCTAAAGTATCGTGAATAATGACATCCCTACTGTATAAAATGTCAGTATACTACTTCCACCCTTGTTTCATCTTCTTGGAATCGGTATCTGCTCTTTGGTACCCTTTAGCACACCAGTTTGAAGTTGGAACCCCCTCTAAGTTCAGAGATCTTTTGGAAGGCTTTCCTTACTTTTCCATGTCTGCTTCCATCCTCAGTGTCTCTATAGATGTTGCTGTAATTCTGCTTCTTGTCTCCTCTGACAGCTCTCCGAAACTCCCTTTTAAGTCCCTTTCCGAGGTTTTTGTCTTTCTTGGCATTGGCTTCCCTTCCCTTCTTGGCAATTTCATCTGGTTTGCTTTCTTTTGGTTTTTTTCACTTTCACCCTTAACAATTTCTTTGATTTCATTCCACAGTTCCTCTGGTTCCCTATCTATGAGGTTGAGGGCTTCAAAGTGATTCCCAGCATTCTTGAAAATGTTAGGTGTATAGCCAAATCATATCATCGAAACTGGTTGGCTTTCTTCTTCCACTTTAGCTTAGCTTGGAATTTGCACATGAGCAGTTCATGATCTGCTTAACAGTCAGGCCCTGACCATATCTTGGCTGTTATAACTGAACCCTTCCACCTCAAATTAACTCTGTGGTCAATTTGATTTCTGTGTACTCCATCTGGTGATGTCCATGTATATTAGGTATCATTTCGGTTGTTTGAAGACTATGTTAGCCATGAAAAGATAATTGGATCGGCAAAAACTGATAAGTCTTATCCTGTTTCATTTTGGTTTCTTAGGCCATGCAGTCCAACTATGATCCTCCTCAATGTTTCCAACGCTGGCATTCCAATCTCCAACCACAAACAGCCTGTTCTGTTGACTTCAAATTGAACTTGATCTAAAACTCATCAACCTCCTCTTCTTCTGCATCAGTGGTTGGAGTATAAACTTGGACAATCATCATATTAAAGGGTTGACCATGAAGACTAACTGATATTATTCGGTCAATAATCACATTGTAGCCCAGTACTAGCCTTCCTAACTATGAACCCAGTGCTGTTCCTTTTTTGTGTTTCATGTCCTGAGTAATAAACAGTGTGATCCTCTGATTGAAAGTGATTGATTCTACTCCATCTCAATTTGCTAATGACTAAGATGTCAATGTGTAGTCAATTCATTTCATGCTTCTTACCTTCCATGTTCCCACTGTAATTCTGCCTTTGCAGCTTCCGATTTTCTTTTCCTGCATGGCAACATCAACAACGAGACATCCCAAAGGCTT